AAGCTGAAAAGTGAGTGTGAATATCAAAGTATTCTATCTGCATACATGAAAATAGAACAGAGAACCCATTTCAAATTGTTTTAAGAAGAAGGGAGAGGAGTTTGGACATTGTTGGCTCCCACCTGTAACACCTGTAATCCTAGCTACTCTGGAGGCTGAGAGCTGAACACTGGCATTTGAAGCCAGCTCAGGTAGAAAAGTTCATTGTGTGTCTATGTATGTGTGCGTGCGTATCACCAGTACTGGGCTTTCAACTTAGGGTCTCAAACTCTGTCGTCTTCTTCACTCAACACTGGCATTCTACCAGTTGAGCCAAACTCCACCTAAGACTTTTTGATAAAGATAAAAAACATCTCTTTGAAGATAATTCTATCTATTCAGGCTGGCTTCAAATTCCAATCTTCAGATTTCAATCCTAGCTACTCTTAAGAAGCTAGAAATGTGAGTACTGGGTAATACATGTATTAAAAAAAAAGTCTAAGAAAATATTCATGTTCCCCTTTAGTAAATAGTATAGTATTCTATGTAAATGACCTTAGTAACTTAACACAATGAAGCTCCAAACTAGAATTTTAAAATTGAAATGACAATGCTTCATAGTGGCAAAATATAAAAATAAGCAATGACTAGTCCAGAAAAGGTTCTCTTTGACAAGCATGAACTGACATGTTTGCCCCACACACCCTCAAATGAAGCATAACAAACAGAAATGGACTATTGCTCTTACTCACTAAGTCTGTTCTGCAACTACAAAAGGAAGCTAAGGAAATAGCCAAAAGCAAGATAAGAAGTCAGGGCATAATAATTTAAATGTATGGCATTTATCCAGACTCATGTTTGTAACAAAAAAAAAAAAGAATATCCTGCCAAGAATCATATTGACTAACTCAGTAGGCACTTGGTGACCCTCATGAAGAAGTGTATTGCCAAAGGCCTTTCTTTACTAGTCCTCATCTCTTGTTCTGGTACAAAGTTAAAATTAAATCAAATGTTAAGAATTACCTTAGTCACACTTTCTATCTTTGTGCAACATATAAAAACTAACAAGGTCGGGCTGGGAAGGTGGCTCAGTGGTAGAGTGCTTGCCTTGCATGCATGAGGCCCTGGGTTCGATTCCTCAGCACCACATAAGCAAAAAGAAAAAAGCCGGAAGTAGGGCTGTGGCTCAAGTGGTAGAACGCTAGCCTTGAGCTGAAGAGCTGAGGGACAGTGCCCAGGCCCAGAGTTAGGCCCCACGACCGGACCAAAAAACAAAACAAAACTAACAAGGTAGTGCCTTGGCCCTTATTCATGTCACTCTTACAGATGTGAAAAGTTCTAGCTAATTTTACTGTTTAGAAGCTGTTTGTTCCCACTATAATCTTCAAGGGGTTTTGGAATATTCTTTTTGAAAGAAAGCATATAGACTTCAAACCAACCAGACTAGCCTAGCAATTGGGGGCTCATGCTTGAAATCCTAGCTACTCAGGAGGCTGAGATCTAAAAATTGCAGTTCTAAGCCAGACTGGGCAGGAAAGTCCATGAGACTCTTCTCTCAATTACCCACCAAAATAAGCTGGAAGTGGAGCTGTGGTTCAAGTGGTAAAGCGTTAGGTTTGAGCAAAAAACAGAACAAAAACTTAGGGCCAGTGCCTAGGCTCTGAGTTCAAGCTCCAGAACCCCCTGCTCCCCCTCCAAAAAAAAAAAAAAACTAAAGGAAACAGTCAAACTCAAAAGAGGACATGTTTGCTTTCACCTGAAGATACACATACAACTGCTGCTTGATATAACAGTAAGTACATTCAAGCACCACAAACAAACAGCACGCACACACACACACACACACACACACACACACACACACATACACACACACACACACACACTTTAAAAAAAGGTAGGCCACAGCCGAGGTCTTCACCTGCATGACGTACCACTGACTGGCTAACCCTTATCTCATCCAGGACAAAGAGTTGTTCAAATGATACCACTCCGCTCTGAAAAGGAAACATTAGCATCTGCAGGACTAGTTAAAGCGGCCCGTCTCAAACATAACCTTCAGTGCCAGGCCAGGGATATTTATGACTCACAAAATAAAACTACAAAAGTTAGATCCAGTTTTATCTTGAATTTATTGGAAGCCAATTACCCACTGGCAGTTACATAATTCTGGTGATTCAGGCAGGTTATAACCATGATGATCCTGGCTTACTGAGAGATCAGCTTTCCTGCAAAGAGCTCAGAAAGATGAAGGAAGCCACTTTCAGAGTAAAAGAGATGACAAGAGATGGGCTGGGAAGGTGGCTCAGTGGTAGAGCGCTTGCCTTGCATGAGTGGGGCGCCCTGGGTTTGATTCCTCAGCACCACATAAGCAAAAAGAAAAAAGCCAGAAGTAGCGCTGTGGCTCAAGTGGTAGAGCTCTAGCCTTGAGCTGAAGAGCTGAGGGACAGTGCCCAGACCCAGAATTC